CTTTTAGTTCACATCATGTCTGCACAGTATTTCTAAAGTAACAGGATCCAACCGTGGCTGGTTAAATGCGGGTGCTGTGTTTGCAGAAGTTGTGATAGTTGTGTTGTCACCGATCGTCGAAACCGCTCGGCGCAGCGCCGGCACGAGGCACCACGTCCCATGTGTACAGCAGTAACAACAGAATTACAATTGCCTTGTGTAAGGGACCTGGTAATGAAGGCAGATAATGGGATTCTTTGCAAAAGCAGATGCTAACTGGCTCCCCAGTGCTAGGCAGAGAGCTGGAAAGGAATACCAGCTGGAAGGGGGGAGCAGCTGAAAAAGGCATTGTAAAGAGGAAGCCTTAGATGCACGTTTGTTTAAGCAGTAAATACTTGTTTAAAATAATCTTATGAGATTCTTATTAAGAGGCAAACTGAGAATGTGATTCCAGCATGATAGAAATCAGCTGGGTACCCAAAGGAAATCTGAATGTAGGCTGGATGAGCAACACGACGACGGTGCTGGGAGCAGACCATGCTGCTGCTGGAGGATGGGACAGTGCTCAGTGCATGGAGATCCAGCTTTAAAGGTGGAGTGACCCTGCTTGTCCCTCCACATCACTGTGTGAACGCCTGTGGTGTCTCCTGTGATGTTGGGCATTGTGCCCTCCTGCCAGGCTGGCAGTGGGATGCAGTGGGGACTGCTGGCAACCGGAGTGCTGAGCTGGGCACCAGCCTGTCAGCCCCAGCCTGGCTGCATGCAGGCACAACAGAGCCTTCCGTGGGGCTGCCTCACCCCAGGCAATTGTTCCACCTACTACTTTTTGGAGAACTAAAACTCATTTTGAGTCTAATGCCAGGATGGAGTAGGAATGTACGTGTACTTATGAGCCGCTGGCTTTTTTCCCAAGTGAGACGACAGACTCTGCGCCACCCAGCAGAGAAAGCCCTGCAGAGCTTTCAGGTGCATTACGCCTTGCTGACAGTGTACTTGTAGATGCTTGCTGTGCTCTGAGCAAATGGGATTTGAGATGTGCTGCCCACGGAGAACAAGCAGCAAGGGCAATGGTCAGCAGCATCCCTCTGGGGGGTCCTCTTGTCCAAAGAAGCGCATTCTCCAAGAAACTTAGTTCTGCTGCTGTCCTCTTCTTACCACTGAGAAACACCTAACCTGTCTGGGTTGCTCCCCATCAGGGCTGGGAGTGGCTTAATGGCAACAGAAGGTGAAACTATGGTGGTGAGAGCAGGACGTGCGTGGCTCTGCTCACATCTGCTGTGCTTCCACGAGCATCATTTTGAGACCTTCCTCACTTGCTGCTTTCTGGCAGGAGGCATCCTGCATTCCAAGCAGGAAAATAACGCTTTCAAAATTTGAGTAGCAAATCACTCCCCTAATTACATTTTGACCCCATTAGTTCAGAAATATATTAAAGAGCCACGCATCTGCATAGGTTACTGTCTAGTGCAGTTCAATGAACTTTTAGCATATAATTGATAGTAACAAGCAAGGTTTATGATTTGTTGTGATATTCTGATTTTGTGCAGACCTCTGAACTTGTAGCTTTACAAGTTCAACTCTCCAGGGATAATGTCTAGCTCTTAGCACACGCCTCCCAGACTTTTAGGCTCAGGCCACCAGGATTTGGGCAAGGCAGGAAGATGCCCACAAATACAGCAGCAGGAGAGTTGGTTCTTGCCATGCTGCCCGGAGCATGGGGCATGCCCTGGGGTGCAAATGGGCTGGAGGTGAGAGTGCATTCCTCTGTCTGTGCTGAATTGGAAGGGCTGCTGCAGCTGGAAATCTGCTGAAAGGATCCTGAGAGCAGAGCTGGGATGGTACGGTCACTTAACAGCCTGCACGCGGGCTGTGCTGCGCTCTCTTCTACTTCGTCCTCTTTCTTCCAGCTTTTATTGACTTTGGGATGCTTCTCTCTCACCTTCCCCAGCTCCTTCCCCTCTCCTGTGTTGTCATGGAAACGTGCTTAAATCGTGCTATCGAAACGTGCTTCCCTGCGGTGGAATGGTAATAGCTAATATTGCTCTTGCAGCTGCTGACTCAGGGATATGGCTGGGCATGTAATATCTCTTCTCGCTCTCCTTAATGCATAATGCAGCAGTTTCTTTCACCTTGGGCTTTATACTGAAGGTGATCCCCAGTCACAGCAAAACACAGCAAGCTGCATTTATAAAGCATGGCCCAGCCGTAGGGTGGGATGCGGGTGGGGCTGGGGAGCTGCCTTTCAGAGCTGCAGAGGATGATCAAACAGACAAAAAAATGACCCTTGCTGTGCATGCAAGCACAAGTAACAAACGTTTGTCTGCCAGTGCTGAAAACAGAAGACATTCAAGTTGAACCGTAAGCATACTCACTTCCACAGGCACACACTGTGCTCCAAATAACTTTGTGAGTGTATTGGATTCTGTCACAGAAATGGTTGAAATGTAGATGAAAGACAAGTAACTGCCTTAATATCATCTAAAAACATAATCGTTCATGGGCATTGCCACTGACATCTGTTTTGAGTAATCATCTGCGCAGCGGCACATAAAGGTAAGCAGAGCATTGTGAGCATATTCCTGAACCACCAGAAAGAAGCACAATAAAAGGCTGTATTTTTAGATGTGACTTTGCAGTATGTCTATAGCATATGCTTTTCAGCTGCCTGCACTGGTTAATTAACCAGCTCTGACTTTGAAAGTTGCCCGAATTTATAGTTTTTATAAGGTAAATTTGGGGTGACATCGGAATTCCCTCATTTCTGCTCTTTCAAAACATTCTTGTTTCAGGACCAGCCTGTTGTATAAATAAAGCAGTGTAGTTCTTGTGTTTGGCAGTGTTCTTCTTTGGCAGTGTTAGTGATATCAAGACAGCTGGGTGGTTTGCAACAGTCCAAAGTCACCCAGGCTAAAGATGCACAACTATGAGCGGTCTCAGTTATCTCTCTTGGTGACATGATCGTGGAGGGAACACAGGGGTTAGGTACATCGTATGTCACTTCAGATTCTGTGCTGGAAAGACCTCTTAAAATATAGATACTGAGAAGCTCTCTGCTTCTAGCATGTTTCTGCGTGCCCTCAAGAATCTACATGCAAGTTATTTCATCTTGTAACTTCATGTTTCTTGACCTTTGCAGAAAAGATCAGGCAACGATATGCAGATCTACCAGGAGAGCTGCACATTATTGAGCTTGAGAAAGACAAAAATGGGCTTGGGCTGAGCCTTGCTGGCAACAAGGACCGATCTCGTATGAGCATCTTTGTAGTTGGTATCAATCCAGATGGACCTGCAGGACGGGATGGAAGGATGCATATTGGTGATGAACTTCTAGAGGTGAGTGTTTCCTTTAACTACTAAATAAGGCTCATATGGCGAGAGGGAGAGGCATATGTGAGGCTATCATTTGAACCTTAAATAAAGAAATAAAGCCTGCGAGTGGAATTAGGTGGCTAAGGGAAGGAACTGCACTGATTTATGCCAGCTGAGAACTTGGCCTTTGGCAGGTAAATGTGTTCTCAGCAAAACAAAAATCATTGGCCTGTGAAAGCTAATGTCTTGTCAGTGAGGTCTGTGCTCTCAGCATGTTCACAAGCTACACACGGCGAGGGACTGTTGAAAGGCAGGCAGAGAATAGTAAATCTGTCCTTGTAGTGCCTGTGTGGTTTTGCAAGAAAATTCACACCTTGCATTTATGAAACGAAACAAAAATCGGAACACCCTCAAAGTTACCATATGTGTTTGTACAGATGACAGGGATATCCTCCATTCTGAAAATAAGCTAAAATCTCATGCTGTAATCTGTTTCGTTCCGGTGTAAGTTAGAATGCTTATTTTCTTTAGTCACATCCAACACAAGGCAAGAGAGCTCAGCAGCTTGTAGGGTATTTTGTCTCCTTTTTTCCTCCTTTCTTCATTTTGGATGGATTTGCTGTATCTCGTGATTTTTGGCTGTTGCAAAGCAGCACTTTTCTGCAGTACCTGCAGTGGTTTCCCATGTCATGATTGCTTCAGCAGCTTAAAAAATTAGCCATTGCTTGGGATCTTTCCTCTAGAAGGAAGCCTTCACTGAAGAGCAGGTGTACAGTGGCCCACTGCTATCTGTGGGTGGTGATTTCTGATCTTTCAGCAACTCACAGCGGCATCAGAGATCCAATAATTTCCTCACGTTTCTTGACTTGAAAAAAAGCAATTGGAATGCCTGGGGATACCTCGGGAGCAATCAGAAATCTCTAAGCATTTGTCATTTTCCAGCAGTTCTATAATTACGGGTTTTCAATACACATGGTTCAAGAAAGGCTTGTTTTGCTATAATAATAGCACCATCTAAAGTTTATTATTATGCTTTCAAGTGTGATGAATGGTATGAAGGTCTGTACCTTGCTGAAATAGTATAGGTAAATGACTTTCTCCTTCAAATTAGTTTTCTTTCCCTGGCACCTGATTCTAATAGTTGGAAAAAGTCAAATTGTTGAATTCTGGGTGTACAGCAATTGGAAGTCACTGTACACCAACTGGAAGGTACTGCTTTGCTCTGTGTATGTCGTAGAAGAGGTAGTTAAGGAGAGACATGAAAGAGCTTTTCATAGCGATGCATTTCCTTACAAAGAAGGATCCACAGAGGTTTCCTTATTCTCATGAGTTATTCCTCGTGGCGTGTGTTTGATCTCATGTTAAATATTACCGTACTTGAAAGATGCACCATCTGTGATTAATCACATGTACCTTCAGGCTCAGGATTTACATGCATGAGCCATGTTGTGAGTAGCATTTCCAAAAACACTGCGTTGCCCTAGTTCCTCTCCCTGCCAAGATGGAGATAAAATGTTGTTTTTCTTCCGTAGGAAAAGAAAAAAGGAGTGACATTTGCAGTCTCATTTCAAATAAACCAAAGTTCAAAGTTTCAGTAACTGCCTCTCTCGGTGAACTTTGCCATCAAATGGGAGGAGTGTCACTGGTGGGCAAAGTGTGGTTAGTTGTGTGAAAGGATGTGGTGATCTCATTCTGGTCCCCGGTGGGTACGTATCCCGTGGCAAAACATCCTGCAGTACAAAGGCTGCGCATTACTCATGTGCAGACGTCTCGTGTTCACACCGGTGGTCAATCGTTCACAGCTCTGTTTTTTTGCCCTTTGAAAGCATTTCAGTGTTATATGTGAGCAGCACTGAAATGAAACTAATGGGCGTTTACACTGGCAGAGTCTGTTTTAATAACTTGGGTTCAATGACCAGTTCAGTCACCATTAGGAATACCTGAGAAGCCTACCATTGCTGAGGTAGGAATGTGGCTCTGTGCTTTTTTTTTGCCTGCAGTGCAGGGGCTGTGGTTTTACTTGCAGCATCAGTTAAAACAACAGTGTGAGAAGAGCACTATTGGTTAACTGAAGCATTGACAAGGTAGGAGGTAGCAGATCCAGGCTGTTTGGGTTTCTCCAGCTAGAGGCTTAGAGCTGGACTATGAGCACAGCCTTTAGGTGCAGAAGTGCTCCTATGATTCCTTGCCTGTTGCTGGTGAACCAAATTCTGTTCCTTGGGGTGGTGTTTCCCTGCGTGGCTCTGCCTGCAGGCTGACTGCTGTCCTCTGATAGAAAGCTCTGGGGCTTGGCAGGCACTTGGTAGCATTTGAAGCCATTTTCCACCCAAATTGTCATCTGTTTGTCAGCAGGTGGACAACCCTCTACTCTTTTCCAGCGGAATCTTTTAAGTATATTTATTTTTTGCTGCACCTCAGATTGCACATAAGTTTTGAGTAGGAGTCTTAAGTGATGTACTTTGGATGGCTGTGCCATTGGAGGGAGATGGTGATGTCATCCTCTCATACCTTTCGTAGTCAAGGCAGAATGTGCACCCTGCACAGAGCAATGTAATTTTTAACACAATGCAAGCAGTGCTGACCTGTTGGTTTTTTTCCAATCAGAGATGCCATCTGCAGTGCCCCTGCCTGGCCCACAGCTCTCGTGCAGGTGTCCACACTGCATGGTGTCTTGGGGTGCTGAGCCCCGCTGCTCTGAGTGCCGCAGGCTCTGCCCTTCTGCTTCGTGTTATTCACACTGAATAACCCACCCTAGGACTGTTGTCATCGTTGTTCTATTTTACATCAACGTGTTCTATTAATGGAGCAAGCTGCATAGAGCCCTGCTGTGCTGAGTTACTGATGCTGGGATTCTCTGCCTCCCTCCTGGCCCTGCTTATCTTGCTGCAAGGAAGCAGCGGAGGATGCAGCACTCCTGAAAGGAGCCACCTTCAGTGCTTGAGACAATTCATGGCAGTGCTGTGTTGGTGGTACCTCAAAGCCAGAGGGCCTTCGTGCTGAATGCTTCTCCTGGGATTTTGTTGTAAGAATCTTAGATAAATAGAAGTGATGCTACACATCAGATATGTCAGTATTTTGCCCAAACAAATGAGCTGTCCATCCAAACTCGTGTCACTTCTGTCTTAGAATGGAGACAGGTTGGTATTTTATTCTATTCATTTGTTGTGGGATTTATAATTACTTTGGATTGGACCAAGCAGCACCAGCTGTCAAAAGCAGCAATAGCTTGAACATGGTAAGAAGGGCTCTCCCGTAAGAAAAGTCATGTATGATTAACTCTGGTGGTGACCTTTTAAATTCCTACTTACAGGACAACACTCTCAGCTTCTGTTCCTGTTCTCACATCTGTTTCCTGAAGGTAACAGCAGAACAATATTCTCTTGGCTTTTCATATCAGATGCCACTGCTTTTCACAAGAGCTTTGCATCTAGGCTATCAGTGGAGGCTAGTGCTGCGAGGTGACTGCTGATGCTGAAGGATGAAGCTGAGGAGCCAGTGGCTCCCTGGGCAAACCCCCAGGTTTGTGTTCCCCTTCCAGGAGAGATCTGGGAAAGAGAAAAGAAATCATCCTCCAAACAGCATTTTTCTTTTCCGCTGTTTTCTTTCTGCCTATTGCTTTGGATTTGGGTGTATTTGATAAGAAACTTTTTGAAATTATTCTGTTGTTTCAGAGAATCTGATTAAATCTCAGAATGTTTCGATTCCTGTGGTTAGAGGGAATCTAATGCATTGTTGCAAAGGAATAATAACTCCAGAAGGCTACGCCAGTTCCTTTGGCTAGCTTTGGAATATTGTCTGACTTGAATTTCATAAAAATCTGATAATACCCATTTTATTGGTTTTCATTACTGCCACATAGTAAAAAGAACAGTGTTCTTTTTAAAATACCCACATTTTATGTTTCTCCTCTGCAAGTTAAAATTTGAGAAGCAAACAGTTTTTTTTTTTTTTTTTTTTTAATGTTTCTTCCCTAATTTGGGTGTTTGTGTGTGAAACTGTAAAACAAAGCTGTGTGCATGGGATGTGTGATAAAGCCCGCTGTAGGCCTGTGCTGGGCTTATCAGGGATGGAACTTAATTCCATCCTGATCTGACCTTGTACCTGTAGTGCACTCATGGATTTCTTTCTGCTCTCCCGTCTTTCCATGAAGTTATGTAAAGAGGCACTTAACAAGGAGCTGAGGCTTACATCTGTTTGTTCCTTTTCATAGAATCATATCCCAAGTTGGAAGGGACCCATAAAGATCATCAAGTCCAACCTCCTTTCATAGAATCATCGAATGGCTCTCAAGTCCAACCTCCTTTCATAGAATCATCGAATGGCTCGGGTTGGAAGGGACCCCAAGTGTCACCAAGTTCCAACCCCCCACCACCCACATGGCTGCCAACCTCCATATCTGATATTAGACCAGGCTGCCCAGGGCCCCATCCAACCTGGTCTTGAACGCCTCCAGGGATGGAGCATCCACAACCTCTGGGCAGCTGTTCCACCACATCACCACTCTCTCAGTCAAAAACATGCCCCTGACATCCAATCTAAATCTCCTGTCCTCTAGTTTAAAACCATTCCCCCTTGTCCTATCACTATTTACCTGCATAAAAAGTCGTTTTCCCTCGTGTTTATAAACTCCCTTTAAATACTGGAAGGACACAATGAGTCTCCCCCCAGCTTTCTCTTTTGTTTGGTCAAACCTTTGTTATTCTTTTCTAATCTTAAAGGGGGATGTTCAGGGAAGCTCAGACGGACAGCATTTGACTCATGAGGCACTCTGTGGTTGATCCTTTATTTAGTTTGAAAGATTAAAATGGCGCTGCTGCTGAAACCCTGGACTCTCCCTTTTTGTCTTATTTAAGGAAACTTTTGTGCTTTGCTCTTCTCTGTGGTATCTGAACCTGGAGCATCACTGATTTACTTTGCGAAAGAAAGTGACCTTTTTGCAAAGAAATACAAATATTACAAATCCTGGCTGTAATAGCTGTGTGAAACAGTCCAAAACCTTGTGGAGATGTATTACTTTGATTACCCTTTCATTTTGGTATAATTAAATAATTATAACTTACAGACCTAGCTCAGAGCTAATTAAATTTTGGACTATTTGATGTATCTACTGAATAGCATTAATTTAGCCAGAGTAAAGACTATAAATTTTAATCGAAGAAGCCTGCTGTTTCAAAAAATGGATGGTAATGTAACTAAATACAAACAATTAGTAAGGCATCCAGCGTTCCCAGCAAATAACTTCTTTGGAGGACTGGGACAAATGACATCACTAAACGTGCAGGAAGGTGAAGCTCAGCCCAGGTATTCTTTGTGCCCCAGGTTCTGCGCCAGACGTGGGCTGGTAATTGTTTGCAGGTCAATCTATGTGAATAATCAGGCACTGGGCATATGATTCTTGTGCTCACATTGGTTATTGAACTGCTGACACGAGGCTGTAAGGCTGGCAGGTTGTTTCTTCGTTGGGTGAAAAATTCTTCTAAGAACACAAAACTGCAATCCAACACAAACATTTCCAGTAATGAGAAGCCCTGCTGTAATCACTGGTAAATTGTTCCTGGGGTCCATTATCCGTATTGTTTTAAGCAGCATTGGTGTATCAAATGTGAATGTAAATATTATGTTGTAAAGGAAGAGTGGGAGGAAAAGATGAAGGGTTGCATGGAGCGGGCTGCTCGCTTTGGGGGCGTGGGATTGCTGCAGCTCCGAGGTGCACTAATCCGATCAAGATGCTCCCAGTGAGGGCTTTTTGACAGTTATGTGATATATGCTACTCATCTCAATGTCATCTTTTTAACAAAATAGAAACGTGGCCTTGAATTAGTTTCCATATTCACATTGTTTTCTTCTCCATCTGGAACAGAATAGCTGCTCGTATAAAGAAATGCTTTGCCTTGGGTTTGGTAGCAGGCGGGTAAAAATTGCTCTTCCACGGAGCAGCGTTGCCTTCATGTTTATTCCAGTCTGAGTTGTCAGAATTGGAGACCGATTCATTCATCCTCACTGTAGTGTTTGGTTGTGTGTTTGGTTCAGCTTAGTTCTAAACCTGAAAACCATCAGGATGCAGCTGAGAGGCTCCTTGAGGGTTTTGCTGTTTGTCTCCTTGGCGCAGCCTTCTTTTTGCCATGGTGCTCCGCTTTTCCTTCATTTACATTTGGCGTGGCACGTCTGGCTGCCTCCTGCTCTGCTTACAGCCTTTGTGGCTGCACACTGCTGTCAGGTCAGCATCTCCAGGCTGCCAGCAGGCAGGGACAGGAGCGGGGCTGGGTCTTGGGGGTGCACCAAGCTGCTGGGAGGTGAATGAAACACTTCAAATGTTACACCACGGGTGGTCTTGAGATAGGATGCCTAGTGTGCTTTTGGTTCATCTTGGAGCTACTGTTGTGATTGTCAAGGTGCCACTTGCTGAGCGTGGCAATGGAAGACAGCAGGCACCTAATTTTTCTCAAACTGGGAAAGGTCTTCTGTTCTCCTGCAGCCAGGAGGGTGTTGAAGGCCATGGGGGGTGTTGAGGACCATGCTGTTTCCCCATGAAAACTACAGGATTGGCTCACACTCAGAAATGGCATTCAAAGCAATACCTGGTGTTTGTTGCAGTGGTTAGGTGTTTGCTGTTCACAGCAAGAGTAACGTGGTCTATTCTGAAACTGGCCTTTCTGTCTCATCTAATTCCTGAACTGCTGGTTACCTGCAGGTGAGGTGTGGGTCACTAATAGCATTAAATTAGCTCTGCACTGGTTACTCTTTTATATTGGTCTAGAATAAAATGTGGAACGCTTTGCTGCTAATACAGTGGGTTTTGTTTTTTTTCATTATATTGGACTTGATGATGTTGAAAATGTAATATCTTAAAAATCAGTTCTGCAATTCTGTGGTCCATCCAGGAACCAGCAGGAGAAGGAGGTTGAACTTGAAATCTAACTAATGCCTGCCTTTCAAAAGGAACGATGAGAAACCTGATGTGAAGGTGTTAATGTTGCCTCTGAGCTGCAGACTGCAGCTCATCCTCCTCCTGTGGCTGGCTGATGGTGACAGCCTTTGTTGTGTCTTTGTCATATGGTGTTTCTGCAGCAGAGCAGTGCCCAAAAGCAGCTCTTAGCGCCTCAATACCAGTGTTTCTGTCTCTCCAGCTCTGTGCAGATAGGTTTATCTGTCAGTACTTCCGCAGTATTCCTGTCTGTAAAAGCCTCAAGCTTTGTGATTTGTATTTCACGACCCACTTTTTCTTAGCATCTTTTTTCCTTGTCCTGGTGCCTTGGTGGTGTAAATTGAAACAATGCATACCTATTTTGGAACTCCATTTACATGAAACTTTTGTTTCCTTTGAACAGATAAACAATCAGATATTGTATGGAAGAAGTCATCAGAATGCTTCTGCAATAATTAAGACTGCCCCATCAAAGGTCAAGCTAGTTTTCATACGGTAAGAACAGTTCTCATCAAAACATTTGTTCATGCTTCAGCCTATTCTGTTACGTATCTGCCCATATAACTGACCTACTCAGCCTGTTTTGAAATTGCTAAACTTACTCAGTTCTCTGTGGTATGAAATAAAGGTTTTCCTTGACTATTCATCTCAGGACTGCTGAGGGTCCAACATTAATATATTGGACCTTCATGAATGCTGCTGTTCCAGGGGTGGCTTCCATTGGCACTATCAATTTCAACCATTCCAGTTTATTAATGCAGTCTTCTCACCAGTCTATACATCACAGTTGATACTGGTTTATATTCTTTGCTCACATTCAGCTTACCTGTGAACAATGTAATAATCTGTGGATGAATGCATATAAATGTGTACATTTACTCGCATGGCTCTGTCTGATACAGCATACACAGAAATGATGGAAGAGCAGCATTAGCTCGGTGAAGAATGACTTGCTATACTTGGCAGCACAGAGGATCTAGAGGAGATTAATGGTCTTGCCTGCAGCTCCCGTGTTACTTTCCCCAGCTATTGAAAATTAAATGTCATGTACAACAACTCACTCACCATTACTTAATTGCATATGGAAAATGTGTCTGGTATGGAACCTCCAGAGGCAGAAGCAAAACGTATGAAACCAAAACCCGGGGCACAATTTAGTGCTGTCAGGCAGCACTGGGAGCGTGGGCTTCTGGTGAGCCTGCCCTGCTGCCCCAAGCAGCAGCTGCCTGCTGAGGGTCAGGCTCTGCAGAGCTGCAGCAGGGCTTGCTCATTAGCTCGAGTCTCCCATGGGTATGGGAAGAAGTGAAAACAATGTTAGTTCTATCCATATTTCCCCTTTTCCAAGTTATGTATAAAGAAGTAAATTTCAAGGCATAAAATTGGTGTGGCAGGCATAATTAATAGATACTGGAAATACCATTGGATAATTCTTGTCGCTCTCCCTAGCACTTAAAAAAACTTGTCATACATGCTGCAGTTGAGGCTATAAGCTTATCTTTACACTAACAAAGAGCCTGCATCTTGTCCCTGCTTTCTGCCTTGCACTGGAGCACACTGACAACTGACAAGTCTGCTCGCTTGACCCCAGCAGCCATTCAAACAGCAGTGAAAGGAAATTCCCCCTGTGAGAGAACGTTGTTGGTAACTAGAGCACTGTCTAGAATGCAAGGAAAAACGGTGCTTTTAGTAAGAGGGGGGTATCAAAGTTTCACCACAGCTAACTTGTCTCTCTTCAGATTGAAATTTAAGGAGAAGGTTTTTCTTGTGAATATATTCTATGAGCCTTGATGCTACCAATTCCTGTGCTTTAGACCTCAAAGTGGGTGGGTGTGATCAAATGCATAAACACAAGGCTGTGCCAATTGCAGAAGTCTTGCCCAAGGTGCAGTTTGGTAGAAGTCTTTGCTTGCTTCATCAAGCCATTTTAAAACTATGATCTAAAATGGAGGTACTGAAATGCCACTACTTGATGCACTGTGGTGCCAGCTCTACTAAACGTGAGGAGCTGCAGGCATCGTGGGTCTCCATCCATCTCTCCCACGTATGTGTGCTGCAGCTTTCCAGATGAGAACAGAGCACTGAGTGCAGCCAGCTGAGAGCATTCCTGGTCACTTTGCTGCTTGGCTGGGTTCAGATGTGTTCCCCTCAGCTTTAATGGTGTGGAAAGAGCAGGATACCGTTACGTTTGTTACAAGAAGGAGCCCTCGCAGCAGAAGTAATACTTTCTTCCTCTTGAGTGCTGTTGCTGATTCTGCTTCCTTGTAAAGGTAGAAGGCCTGTAATGTTGAGGAGCTAAATTGCATTCTGCAACACACGGTGAGAAGAGGCTGCAACTGACCATAGCAGAGTGATGTGTGCTGCAGGAATTAACAGGGAGTTGGGGCTGGTCTTCGTGAAGATGCTCGTATTCTGATTTCAACAATATAAGTCCTGAGTAGATCA